TTTTTTTAAAAAAAAAAAAAAAAAAAAAAAATAACAGGATTATCGTTAATCCAGATTTTTTACTTTTGGTTGGCCGTAATTACAGCGGGTGCTGTATCGTGTATATGTTCTGGAATGGATTAAACTATTATATGTAACGCTATTTCAGGTAATACAATTTCATGAAGATCCGGAAGAAGGACGCACAGAAATCCTTCTAGGCCTTTTTAACGAAGAAATACATAAACACTGGATTAACGATAATCCTCAGAAAAGGCCGCTTAAGGTACTTTTTGCCTTCTCATTGGAGTATTTCAAAAAATTTGGTGCCAAAATCGTGAATTGCTGAAAATGCGGTAGCTTTTGGTACTGCTAGAGAGAACATTTGCGTAGTATGTGTGTGTCCATCGTAAATTCATAACCCGAAAAAAAAGTCGGACATCATTGCTTTACCGACGCTGCAAACTGATGCGAGAATGTTTTTCTCATGAGTTCTTTTAATCGAAAAAAAGAAGACGTCTCTCACAGCAAGTTGTGCAAAAGCTGGTGCATCACTTACGATTATCCTTTTTTACAGATTGATGGCCGAATTATCCAGGTTTCGCATTTATATTCAGGCGGTAGCCATTGCAAGGAGGCCGACACCCACAGGTTACATTTTCGTTTTAATCTATTAAATTGAAATGGTGATCTAATGGCCTATGTTGCAATATCAATACTTCAGACCACGCAAATTTTGTTGCTGGGAATTTAATCTGCTTCTGGTTCTTTGCTTTTTCGACATCGGGTTTATTTTAGCCTTCAACAAAAACGCTTACTTTCGAGTGGAAGTCTTTGATTTTTATTTGGTAACAGCGGCCCTTCGAAATTCTTTCAAGCTGAAGGGAGTCTGAACTTCCGAGAATTTATTTTTTGACGAACAATTCAGTTTCGTTAGTGCAGTAGAAAAATCACAAAGCAAAACATTGCAGGAGTGTGGAAGTGCGTATTCGTTGTCGAACATCTGAAGGGAGTCAAACTGCGGTGACAGTCTATTTGCTGGAGCCGCACACTTGCCAGTACGTGCTGGGTGTCGAATCGCCCAGGTTTTGTGACTTACTCCAAACTGCTGACGAGTATGGACTAATTCATTTGCCCGAGAGGAAAAGCAAATGAACCTGTATTATTAGGATAGGAAAATTTTGGAATTTTGTTGATCTCAGCGGAACTACTGCTATGAATTTTGGAATTTCTTATCAAATCTAAAACCAGTTCCGTAGCGAGCAGTTTGTCCAGTTCTGCATATCTCGACTCTCTTGCTTTTGCTAGCAAGCCAGATTTTTTCTCGGCGTAAAGGAAATCCACCATTCTTGCCGCATTTCGCGCCAGTTTTGCTTCC